CTGGATTCCCAGTAGGGGGCATGCAGGAGGCAGCCAATCCATGATTCTCTCTCACCATTGATGTTTCTGTCTCTCCCTTTCTTTCACCTATGAAATCAATAAAAATATGTTTAAAACACTAAAAACAAAAATGTGCCAGAAAATTTAAATACGGTCATTTCACATTTGGAGTTTCACTGGATAAAAGGGAAAAGAAAACTGTTTGCTTTCACAAATGTCCATGCTTTTTTCTAGTATCTTTTTTTTTTTTTTTAATGCCCACCTCAGTATATTTTTCTACTAATTTTTAGTGAGAGTGGAAAAGAGAGGGTAAGACAGAGATAAATGTCAACGTGACAGAATTACATCAATTAGTTGCCTCCTGCACCTGGCCAGACCAGAGAGGAGCCTACAACCAAGTATTATATATACCCTTGTTCAGAATCAAACCTGGGACATATCAAAGGCAGACACTCTATACACTGAGGAAAACAAGCTAGGGCTGTATCTCTAGCTTGGGCTGTATCTCTATAAATAGAGAGAGAGAGTGGAAAGTAGAGATAGAAACATCCATGGTGAGAGAACCATTGGTTGGCTGCCTCCTGCAAACCCGCAACTGGGAATCACGCCTGCAACTTGGGCATGTGCCCTGACTGAATGGAACAGTGACCTCCTGCTCCATAGGTTGATGCTCACCCACTGAGCTTCTCTGCTGAGTTGTAATAATCTTTCTCTTATTTCTCTACCTGGCGCATTCAATCAATGGACATTTTCATTCTCAGGGAAACTAGAGTTAAAGGGCTTCCCTGAGTGATGCATAAAGGCTCTGAAGGGAAGACACACATACATTGGATTCAGCTCAGATGAGCAGCCTTGTTCCCACAAGACAGAAGGAAAGCCACTTTCAGAAGGTTCCAGGCTCTCCTGACTGAGACAGAACCCCTGAGTGTTACAGTCCCTGGGGAAGCAGCAGAGGGACACCTGAGCAGCCACCCCAGGAATGAAGTCTGGAGCTCCAATTCCCTCCTCTCCCTGGGGAATAATGGAAAAGTGTTGGGCAGTTAGACAGACATAAGCAGGGCAAGGAGAATGGGCCAGGGCCAGAAGGTCATGCCCAGCAGCAGACCACTGTAGGCTGGGGCCTCATCCCCAGGGTGACCTTTCATTCCGTAGCATATCGCTGGCCATGCAGGTTAGACTCCGGGCCTTTTCCGCCTAGAAATAGCCTCTAGGCCACACTTCTATTTCAGTTGCAGGCCCAGAAAAGCCGCAAAATCGGAAAAGCGATGCAGGGCTGACCGTAGGACCAGCTGCACTGAATGATGTCCTGGGCCTTGGCCATTAGCCATCACTCAGTGGAGACCCAGTTGTGAAGGGACAATTCAGAAAAGCTGCTGAATATTCTGAGATTTCCCCCAGGATCTCCCTTAAAATCTCCACCCTTAAACATTTAGGAGAGAGAACCCAGCTTGCTCTCCTTCCTGGGAGCCTGTCCCCACCTCTCCTTACCCACCCATTCCCCCCGGGCCTGTTAACAGCTACCTTTCTCTCTTCTAAGAGCCTAGGACCCTTTCGTTATCTCTGTAACTTGTTTCCTATTCCTTTCCTTCTAAGAATTACTTCTACCTCTGTGATTTCCCAAATAAATGTTCTCTTATAGTTTGAGTCTTAGCTCTGAATTCATTCCCAGCAGAATTCAAGCACCTCTGTTGCTGAACCTAGATACGTGAAAATCAGCTAGGGCATTTCACGTATCTCACACAAGGTGCTGCTCCGACCATGCCACCGCCAACAGACGTGCTCCCTCTCAGGCTGCAGCTCACAGTGAGGGGTGCTCAGCTGGATTCAGTGTAAGGTTCTGACCCAAATGAACTCCCAATCTCACGATCCCTACCCCAGGACACACCCTCCTGACTTTCCCAGATTTTCTCAATGTGCACCCACACCCTGGATGCAAAACTTCAACCGATGCCTAGGAACAGGCCCAGGGGGACCTCAACTAAAACCTCGGAAGGGCATCACCCCCTCCTGCAGGTGCACCTGCACCCCAGCTCTCCAGGGCTGAAGCTTCTCTCCCTGTAAAGGCTCCCTCCATGGTGGGTGTGAGCAGTAGGACACCTGCAGGGGAGGATTCCCAGGAAGGTCAGCGAACCTTCAGGTACTTCATTGGCAGGCTCAGGGTGTGGGGGCTTCCTTAGCTTAAAGCACTTGGCTCAGAACTCTACTCCCCCCTGACATTGCTCTGAGCCACCACTGATGTTTCAAGTGACACAAAGCCAGTGTTGGAACAATCAAAAACTTGTTTAAACCCAATGTTCATGTGTAAAGAAGGTATTAAAATGGTAAGACACTTTGCTAGCTCAACAAGAAAATCCACAAGTATCAATTATTGCATTTCAAAACAAAAAGATGTTAATTAATTATTGGTCCCATGGCAAGAATTTATTTTAAAAACTATTATATTTTTGAACAAAAACTGTGCACCTATGGATGAGGACAATGGGGGGTGGGAAAAGGGCAGAGGGTGGGGTGAGGTAGGAACCTGGTGGAGGGGAGCAATTGGGGGGCAGGGGGAGGAAAGAGGAACACATTTGTAATAATCTGAATAAAGATTTATTTAAAACTAAAAACTAAAAACTATTATACTTCAAAACCTCCAGTCTAAACTCTAAAAATCCATTTGACACTCAAAATAATAGACCTTGAAATATTCCTACTCACACTGGGAGGAAACAACCCAAACAAAATTATAATACATGCAATCTACCTAATAAAAGAGTAACATGCTAACTGACCGTACATTTGCGACACCCACCAGCCAATCAGGAGTATGCAAAATAACACAACAAAGATGACAGGTTAATTTGCATAAGCAGGCATGAGCGGCCGGGACGCAGGCATTCTGCACCACCCCAGCCACTATGGGCCTCTGGGTAACGAGGGAAGGCAGAAAGGCTGGTCTGGCTAGAGCGAAGGCAGTGCTAGAAGCCAGGGGAAGGAAAGCACATTCTTGTACAAATCTTCGAGCTTTGGGCCTCTAGTCTATAATATAAAACCCTGCCCTGGACGGGTTGGCTCAGTGGATGGAGCATCGGCCTGTGGATTCAAGGGTCCCAGGTTCGATTCCAGTCAAGGGCATGTACCTTGGATTCGGGCAAATAGCCCGTAGGAAGTGTGCAAGAGGCAGCTGATTTGACATTTCTTTCTCATCGGTGTTTCTCTTTATCTCTCTCCCTTCCTCTCTGTAAAAAATCAATAAAATATATTTTAAAATACAAAAAACAAAAAACCCTTAAGCAACCTGCCGACTGGCTGAGTTGTACAGTAGCTATAGTGTGCAATGACCACTAGGGGGTGAGGTTCAACACAGGGAGCTCCCGAGCTCCTGGAACCAGAGAGGAAGGAGCCAGATTCTGGATTGCGACAACTGAGAACCACCCTCTCACAATTGGGGGCCTCTTTGGGTATGTCAGAGAGCCAGATTTGGTCCAGTCTGCACAGGCCAGGTAGAGGGACCCCACCTGTGCACAAATCTGTGCACTGGGCCTCTAGTGTAACAATATTTACTTCTCTGAGAGGCACTGGTGTCAGGAAGAGCCATTCTATGCTGCATCTTTAATGTTGAATTGTGAACAATTAGAAAGCTTACACCAAAATCAAGGGAAGTGAAGGAGTGACTGGCAGTTTTGAGGATATTCTTGGCTGGTAGGGCAAAGAGTGAGAAAAACAAACTAAAATATTCTGTTCTTAACATGAACTGCCTGTACAGTTCCCAGTCAAAAGCAACACAAATACCAAACATGAAAATAATTCATAGGACTCTACAATGAACTGTGCAAAAGTACAAATATATGGCAAGTACTTATTGACTAAAATAATAGTGAATTTCAAGTGCAATTGAAAAATAAAAAAAAGAATACATATGCTTGTAGGGCCTATTCATTCAATACCTGTCAGGGCACATTACTGGGTAGCTGGGTTGATCTTTTGTCAGGCACATGGGAAGACAACCCATCTATGTTTCTCTCACATGGATGTTTCTCTCTACTACTCTCTCAATTTTCTCATTTCCAAAAAGCAATTAAAAAAAAAAAAAAAACAACTAACAAAGAATGAGTACTGACAATGAACAAATATGTCAAAAGTTTATAGAATTTCTTTAATGGTGTGAGTTTTGGAAAGTATATGACTTCATTTGCAACAGGCTCACATGTACTAATTAGTTATATTAATAGGATTTCTTTTAAGGGAAATTTTCAAGCTACTTTGAAAGTATTTAAAATATTAAAGTTTATTTTCATTGTCAATTATACAGTGTACATCCTCACATGATATTGTACAAATATGAGGCAACAGGAAGGTTTTCCTACATTTTTACATTCAATAAACTTCTCCACTTTAGTTTTTTCATGACCTTTCCAAGGAAAAGGGACAGTTGAAGGCTTTCCAATCGTCTCCAAATGTATTCACTGTTTCTCAGGTGCATTCTCACATGTCCAAGAAAGGCTCTCCCACATTCCTTATGTTCATACACTTACTATGGGGTGTGAGTTCTTTCATAATTTTGTAAAAAACTAGAATGGCCAAAGGTTCTCCTTCCATCTTTACATATCAGGGCTTCTCTTCAGTGATTTATTTAATCCTTTACAATAAACTGGAAGAAATACATGCTTTGTAACCCTCTTACATTTTTAGGGTCCATCCCCGGTATGGATTATCATACATGAATGGTATAGCTGAGAGATAAATGAAGGCTCTTCCCTATTCTTTACGTTAACAGTTTATCAATACATTTTGTTTTCACATATCTGTAAAAACTAGTTGGGAACCTGAAGGTTTTACCACATTCCTTCCATTCATGTAGTTTCTCTTCACTATGAGAATTTTTGTTCATTTCAAAGGATTGGGGATGACTATAGGTTATCCCACATCACTTGCATTCCTAGTGTTTCTCCCCAGTATATATTTCATGGTACCTAAGATAAAAGGGATGGCAAAGAGGTTTAATTCATTCCTTATTCATGAACCTTGCTTCCATCATGATTTCTTTTATGTCTTCTAAGATGTGTGATAAAACTGAAGGTTTTTCCACATTGCTTACATTCATAAGGTTTTCCCCTAGTATGTGTTCTTCCATGATTTCTAAGAGACTTGGAGAATCTGAAAGCTTTACCACATTCATAGAGCTTTTCTCCATTGTCTGTGCTTTCATGTTGGGCATTTGCAGGAGGCAACCAATTGATGTTTCTCTCACATCAGTATTGCTCTCTGCCTTTCTGACTTCCACTCTCTCAATGGAAAAATACCTGCAGGTGAGGATAAAGGGGGAAAAAAGAACTGGGATTGTCAAAGGCTTTTCTACAATCTTGACAGGACATGGCTTATTTTCAGTGTGAGTTCTTTATTCATGATGATTTCTCTCCATTATGAGTGTTTAGGTGAATTTCAAGGAAACTGGGATGAATAAAGGCTTTCTCACATTGCTTACCTTCATAGGGTTTTTCCTTATTATGAGTTCTTTCATGACATCGGAGGTTACTTGGATAAGAAAAAGCTTTACCACAATGGTTACATTCATAGGGTTTTTCCCCAGTATGCATTCTTTCATGAATTCTAAGGAAGGATGGATAAAGGAATGTTTTACCACATTCCTTACATTCATGAGGCTTCTTTCCATCATGATTCCTTTTGTGTGTTCCAAGAGAACTGGGATTACTGAAAAATTTCCCACACTGCTTACATTCATAGGATTTCTCGCCAGTATGCATTCTTTCATGATTTCTAAAATATGTAGGACATCTGAAAGCTTTCCCACATTGCTTACATTCATAGGGTTTCTCCACGGTATGAATTTTTTCATGATTTCTAAGGTATTTGGAATGTCTGAAAGCTTTCCCACATTGCTTACATTCATATGGTTTCTCCAGAGTATGAATTTTTTCATGATTTCTAAGGTATTTGGAATGTCTGAAAGCTTTGCCACATTGCTTACATTCAAAGAGTTTCTCCACAGTATGCATTTTTTCATGATTTATAAGAGATTTGGAAAAACTAAAAGTCTTACCACAATGCTGACATTCATAGGATTTTTTCCTGGTATGAATTCTTTCATGACGTTGGAGGGAAGTAAAATTAGAGAAAGTTTTGCTACATTGCTTACACTTATAGGGTTTTTCCCCAGTATGAATTCTTTCATGACGTCGGAGACCACCCAAAGCAAAGAAAGCTTTCCCACATTGCTTACATTCATAGGGTTTTCCCTTATGACAACTCCTTTCATGATATTGGAGGGAAGATGGGTAAGAGAAAGCTTTATCACAATACTTACATTCATACCGTTTTACTCCAGTATGAATACTTTCATGAAATCGGAGATAATATGGATCATAGAATGTTTTACCACATTCCTTACATTCATGAGGCTTCTTTCCGACATGACTTCTTTTATGTTTTTCAAGAGAGCTGGAAGAAATGAAGGCTTTCCCACATTCCTTACATTGATAAGGTTTTTCCCCAGTGTGCAGTCTTTCATGATAATGAAGGGAAGTTGAATAATAAAAACCTTTACCACAACCCTTACATTTATAGGGCTTTTCCCCAGTATGAGTTCTTTCATGATGTTGGAGAGAAGACTGATAATAGAAACCTTTACCACAATGCTTACATTCATAGCGATTTACCCGAGTATGAGTTCTTTCATGACGTTGGAGGGCAGACAGAAAATAGAAAGCTTTGCCACAATGCTTACATCTATAGGGTTTTTCCTCAGTATGAGTTCTTTCATGATTTCTAAGGGAACAGGGATGGTGGAATGTTTTACCACATTCCTTACATTCATGAGGCTTCTTTCTGTCATGACATCGTTTATGTTTTCGAAGAGAGTTGCTACAATGGAAGGCTTTCCCACATTGCTTACATTTATATGGTCTTTCCCCAGTATGCATTCTTTCATGATTTCGAAGAGCAGTGGAATATCCTAAAGCTTTCCCACACTGCTTACATTCATAGGGCTTTTCTCCACATTGTGTCTGTTGATGCTCTCGATAATATTTTTGACAACTGAAGGCTTTCCCACATTGCTTACATTCATAGGGCTTTTCTCCACATTGTGTTCGTTGATACTCTCGATAATACTTTGGACAACTGAAGGCTTTCCCACATTGCTTACAACCATAAGGTTTTTCCCCAGTATGAGTTCTTTTATGATTTTGGAGGGAAGTTGGATAAGAGAAAACTTTACCACAAAGCTTACATTCATATGGTTTTTCCCCAGTATGCACTCTTTGATGAATTATAAGGGAATAGCGACGACAGAATGTTTTACCACATTCCTTACATTCATGAGGCTTCTTTCTGGCACAACTACTTTTAAGTTTTCCAAGAGAGCTGAGCGAACTGAAGACGTTCCCACATTCATAAGGTTTCTCACCAGTGTGTGTTCTTTCTTGATTACTAAGAGAAGTGGAACTGAAAGCTTTTCCAGATTCCTTACATTGATAGGACTTTTCTGCAGTGTGCGTTCTTTCATTTTCTCCAGAATACTTGGGAGAACTGGAAGCTTTGCCACATTGCTTACTTTGATATGGATTCTCTCCACTATGAGTATTTTTGTGAAGTTTAAAGTAAATGAAACAATTAAAGCTTTTTCCACATTGCTCACACTCATACGATTTCCCAGCAATATTCATTCTTTCATGACTTCTAAGGAAAGTTGAATAGTAAAAAGTTTCCCCAGTGGGGCTATCTTCATGGCTCTGAATATGTTGGTAAGGCTTGAAAGTTTTCTCAGATTCTTTACATTTATAAGAGTTTTCTTCATATTCCTGACACAGATATAGTTTGGGTCCAATGTGAGAACTCAGGTGGTTACTCAACAATAAATAATGTATGAAGATTTGCCTGCACAACCTGGATTTAGGTTGTGTTATTTCAGGAATTTCCTTAGTTTCATTATTATATGGAATCTGGCTGAAGTTTTCTCTGTGTTGACTACCATCCTTCCTTGTACAGAGTCTCTCTACCATATGACTGTTGTAAAAATGAGAAGCATATTAATACTTTAATGATTTAATATTTATTAATAACATGACAATGATATTTTTACCATTTTCAAAGAAAGCGTGGGATTTCTGAACATTCTATTTTTTGAAGGTGTATATCTTAAAACTTCTGATATAAGGTGGATAATTGATATTATGAAAACACTTATATTCATTGATAGTACTTTTGTGTATTGTTTCCAAGTAATTATTTTTTAAAATATATTTTATTGATTTTTGAGAGAGAGGAAGGAAGAGGGATAGTCAGAAACATCGATGAGAGAGAAACATCGATCAGCTTCCTCCTGCACACCCCCCACTGGGGATGTGCCCACAACCAAGGTACATGCCCTTGACTAGAATCGAACCCGGAACCCCTCAGATCACAAGCTGATGATCCACTAAGCAAAACCAGTCAGGGCACCAAGTGTAATTATTTTTTATACACTAAACATCTAGATCATATTTCAGGGGGAAAAATTTTTTTGATGATATTCTTCTAAAAATCAATACATTTAAAACCTAGCTGATACAATTGGATTATCTGTTTTTAAGATTTTTTTGTGGACCAGGCCTATATGATTCAGTGGTTTAGGATGGACCCATGCACCAAGGGCTTCCGGGTTCAATTCCCTGAAAGGGAATATGGCCAAACTGCAGACTTATTAAACCCAGAACCAGGCATGCAGAAGGCATTCTATTGATTTTTTATCTCTCACTCTCAAAGCCACATATTAAAATCAATAAATACATGTTTTTGCACCACCAGCAAGGCTCAGTAGTTGAGCACTGACCTCTGAACCAGGCGGCCATAGTCAGGGCACATTCCCAGGTTTTGGATATGATTCTGAATGTGGGGCATGCAGGAGGCAGCCATCATTAATTCTCTCTCATTGTTGATGTTTCTTTCTTTCTCCCTCTTCCCACCTCTATGAAATACATTAAAGATATATTAAACATATAAATAAATAAACAAAATATATAAAAACCTACTATAAAAAAAACAAACACAAAGATACTCTTAATGCTTTGTCATGTCAATGTGACTCACCTAAGATTTCTCCTGTAATATTCATACTGATCTTCACTGTCATGGTCATCACATTGTTCTTCTAAAATACATGCTAGAAAAAGCATTATAAACTGTTAGAGAATATAAAAATGGTAAGATTTTAGGGATACAATGAGCGGTGATCATTCCTAGTTTAATTACCAATGTATTCTTTTTGCATATTTCAATTCTTAAAACAGCATTAATGAGCAAGCTACACTAGTTTTCTAATTGTCTATGTAAGTAACAAGTTGTTGCAGGCCAGAGTTACTCTGTGTTTGACCATCAACCTATGAACTATAAGAACCGGGAGGTCACAGGTCAATTTCCAGTAGGAGCAGTTTACAGGCTTGATTCCCAGTGTGAGTCGTGCAGGAGATACCCAGTCAGTGATTCTCTCCCATCACTGATTTTTCTCTCGTTCTTTCCCTCTCCTTCCTCTCTAAAATCAACAAAAATATATTTAAAAAAAAATAACTTGTGATACCTACCTACTGACGCCAGGTTCCAGAAGGTTTCCAGCATCACATCTGTGTAAAGTTTCTTCTGGATTGGATGCAGGAAAGCCCACTCCTCCATGGTGAACTCCACATTAACATCCTCAAAGGCCACTGAGTCCTAAAACATCAAACATAAGCATATAGGAGAATGGTTATAACAGCAAGGGGGTTCTACACTAATAAAAGAGAAAAATGGTAATTGACCGTACCTTCGCTATGCCCACAGCCAATCGGAGCGAGTATGCAAATTAACCCAACAAAAATGGCAGTTAATTTGCATACGCAGGCACTGATTGGCCTGGGTCCTGGAAACATCCTACGGACTCAGGCTTCTCCTAGCCTGTAGGCCCGAAGGCCCTGAACGGCAGGGGTCTCAGAACACTTCCTGGCCACTCAGAGCCTATGGGTGCAGGTGCCAAGTGACTGGGGGCGGAGCGGGAACATCCCTGCATCACCATAGTGACTTGGGTATGTTCTTGCCCCTCCTGCAGCCACTTGGGAATGCTCCAGCACCAAGTGGTGGTTTGGGTCCATGCCCCCAGCCTGGGGTCTCAGGCTGGCAGCGGCATGCGCACTCACGGGGTGATTGGGCCTGCACCCCCAGCCTGGGGTCTCAGGCTGGCAGCGGCGTGCACACTCATGGGGTGATCGGGCCTGCACCCCCAGCTTGAGGTCTCAGGCTGGCAGCGGCGTGCGCACTCACGGGGTGATCGGGCCTGCACCCCCAGCCTGGGGTCTCAGGCTGGCAGCGGCGTGAGCACTCACGGGGTGATCGGGCCTGCACCCCCAGCTTGGGGTCTCAGGCT